TACTGATCCACAATCAGCATTTTCACTGCATTGGAATGATACATATATATGGGTGATCATTTGTTTGGGTTGTTTATATGTATCATCTTTTGCCCTGAAATTTGTAAATAATATTGAAGTTCCACAATAATGAACTGTGTATAAGTGGCTGTAAATAACCCTTATCACCACCTCATATGACCAATGGGAACTGTTGCACACTGGTGTGTGTTCCTCTGGACCTTTTATAGAACTGGCAAAAAATACAGTACCCCTTCATGTTCAAAACACTAGAAACACTAGGGATAATAGGAACATATCTCAACATGGTAAAAGCTATCTATGCTAAGCCCAAGACCAACATCATTCTAAATGGAGACAAATTGAAAGCATTCTCTCTAAAAATTGGAACAAGACAGGGATGCTCTCTTTCACCACTTCTATTTAATATAGTTCTTGAAACACTGGCCAGAGCAATTAGACAGATAAAAGAAAATAAAGGGATACAGATAGGAAAAGAGAACTCAAATTAGCACTATTTACCAGCTATATGATTGTATACTTAGAAGACCCAAAAAATTCCACCAGAAAACATCTAAAACTAGTAAATGAAATCAGCAATGTAGCAGGATATAAAATCAACACCCTTTAAATCAAATGCATTTCTGAAATTCAGTGACAAATCCTCTGAAAGGGAAACAAGGAAAACTACCCCATCTACAAAAGCCTCAAAAATAAATAAATAAATAAATAAATAAATAAATAAAATACTTGGGAATAAATTTAACAAAAGACATGAAAGTCCTCTACAATGAAAACTACAGAATTCTAAAAAAACTAATTAAAGAAGACCTTAGAAGAGCAAAAGATCTCTCTTGTTCTTGGATAGGCTGAATTAATTTTGTCAAAATGATCATACTACCAAAGAATCATACTGATTTAATGCAATCCCAATCAATATCCCAATGACATTTCTCATAGAAATAGAAAAAGCAGTCATGAAATTTATCTGGAAAAATAAGAGAGCCTGAATATCTAAAGCAATCCTTAGCGTGAAGTAGGTAGCATCACTATACCAGATCTTACCCTATACTACAGAGCAATAGTAACAAAAACAGATGGTATTGGCACAAAAGTAGACCTGTAGACTAGTGATATAGAATAGAGAACACAGAGACAAACTCACATAATTTAAGTTATTTTATATTAGACAAAGGTGCCAAAAACATACACTGGAGAAACAGTGCTGGGAAAACTGGAAATCTATATGCAACAAAATGAAATTAAACCCCTATCTCTCACCATGTACAAAACTCAACTCAAAGTGGATTAAGGACAGAGGAATTAAACCAGAGACACTGTACCTAATAGAAGAAAAAGTAGGCCCAAAACTCCATCATGTCGGATTAGGCCCAACTTCTTTAATAAGACACCTATAGCACGAGATTTAAAATCAAGGATCAATAAATGGGATGGATTCAAACTAAAACGCTTCTTCTCAGCAAAAGAAACAATTAATTAGGTAAAAAGAGAACCTACATTTGGGGAGCAAGTTTTTACCATATGCATATCAGAAAGAACACTAATCTCTGGGATATATAAAGAACTGAAAAAGTTAAACACCACAAAAACAAATAACCCAATCAATAACTGGGCCAAGGAATGAACACACACTTCTCAGAAGATTATATACAATCAATCAACAAATATATGAAAAAATGTTCAACATCTTTGGTAATTAGGGAAATGCAAGTCAAAACTACTTCAAGATTTAATCTCACTCCAGTCAGAATGGCAGCTATTAAAAATACAAACATCAATGAGTGTTGGTGAGAATGTGGGGGAAAAGGCACACTCATACATTGCTGGTGGGACTACAAAATGGTGCAGCATTGGAAAGCAGTATGGAGATTCCTTGGACAACTCAGAATGGAACCATCATTTGACCCAGCTATCACACTCTTCAGTTTATACCCAAAGGACTTAAAAACAGCATACTACAGGCACACAGCCACATCAATGTTTATAGCAGAATAATTCACAATGGCTAAACTGTGAAACCAACCTATACGCCCTTCAGTATATGAATGGATAAAGAAAATGTGGCATATATACACAATGAAATATTACTCAGCATTAAAAGAGAATAAAATCATGGAATTTGCCGTTAAATGCATGGCATTAGAGAATATAATGCTAAGTGAAGTTAACCAATCCCCAAAAAACAAAAGCTGAGTGTTTTCTCTGATATAAGGGGGCTAACTCATAATGGAGATGGTGGGGGGCTTGGGATGAATAGATCAAATGTAGGTATGGCAAAGGGGTGGGAGGGAAGAGAAGATATAGGAAAGACAGTGGAATGTGATGGACATCATTACCCTAAGTACATATATAAAGACATGAATGGTGTAACTCTACTTTGTGTACAAGCAGAGACATGAAATATTGTGCTCCATATGTGTAATATGAATTGTAATGCATTCTGCTGTCATATATAACAAATTAGAATTTTTTAAAAAAAGAAAACTAATTTCTGTTATATGTGTAATTATATCCATTATGTCTTTTACATATTAACTAATTGATATTATTGGGAACTGTAAGGGTAAAAGAAATTGAAGTTAAAGCATAAAAGTTAAAGGGTAAAAGACCGGGTGTTGTAAAGTTTCTAAGCTGCAAGGTCTGAGTTAAAGTGTAAAGGATTAGGTATCGTTAGGTTTCTATGCTACCTGCAAAACCTGAAATTTCTGTAGCTGTTAAGACAATGCTTGGAACTGCCCAGTAAATATTTCCCCTGACTATTGGTTGTTTAATAAGGGCTCTGTGTGGTCGCACGTAGGCATTGCAGGGCCTGGACCAATCAGTTTAAATGTAACCCCCTCCTTAGGAATGACCTATCACTCCAGCCTGACCCTTCCCGCCAATGAATGAACCAATCATGTTTAGGAGTTGTTATTCAATTTTTCCACGCCTCATGATGATTTGTTCTGATGTATACAAGGCCCTCCGCCCTCCTCAAAAAGTGTATTTAAGCAGTGCTCAGCCCCTGCTTGGGGCTCTGGGCTGCTTCCCCTTCTTGAATGGGCACGGAGCCCCAGCATGCTGGTTCAATAAATCTCCCTTCTGCCAATTGCATGAGTGGTCACTTGGTGGTCTCTTTCTCCGACATTTCGTGGGATCCTTACAGAACTACCATGCAAGACCTGAACTGGTTACATTTCCAAGAGAATACCTACGGTAGTTAGTTTCAGCCATATTGTTTTTTTTTCTCTCAAGTTGAATATAATCCAAATTCATGTACACAGTAGTGTTTTGGGTATGTTAAAATGAATTACCTGTAAAAACACCCAAATATTATTATTTCTAAACATTAAGCCTACCTTTTTGGTATAGTTAGGATCTTTAAAAGTAGATAACAAAGTTCAGTTATTTAGAAGGAAAAAAATTGTTTTATAGATACAAAAAAGAAATAATTACAACAGCTAATATTACTATGGATCCTATGTTTGTACCAAGGATATTGTGTATCAGTATTATATATTTTTTCCATGTAACACAATATGAAATTGAACTATTAACAGATAAGTAAGCATCATCACATGTAAGAACTACCTCATCCATGTTTACATCATTTGTTATGTGCAGTCTTGCAACAACTTTCTGAGTGTTTCCTCTGTATTATCTTTCCCTCTACAATCCAATTTGGTGACTGCATTTTGAGATTTTTTCAAAAGAGAAAATTTATTCACATCTCTCTCTTAAAAAAAATTTTACTTTTCAATTGTAGTTGGATGAAATCTATTTTATGTATTTATTTATCTGTTTATTTATTTATTTTTATGTGGTCCTGAGGATGGAACCCAGGGCCTCACACATGCTAGGCAAGTGCTCTACTGCTGAGCCACAACCTCAGCCCCTTCACATCTCTCTTATGCTTAACTCTTTTCATGGAATCCCCAATGCACTTAATAGATTCTTTAAACTCCTAGTTACCTAACTTTCACTTACCTCTCTAGCATTATCTGCTCTTTGCTGTCCTACTCCTGCTACACTACTCTTGTGCTAAGAGCCAAGTATATGATGCATGGCATTTTTGGTCGAAAGGTGAAGCCAGCTAGCCATTGAGATGATATGTTTATGGTAAGATTTGCATTCATATGGATATTGGACTCCTGCTGTTCACCTAGGCCAGCTATGGGACTCCTGGAGAGTTCCCATTGGCTGGGGAAGTACAGTAGGAGGGAGTTCCAGGGGAGGAGCTCTCTCTGCGGGTCCGAGAGGAGGCCGCGTGGGTGGAAAAAATCTTCCCGGGCGGTACCAGACATTGGCAGCAGTTTCAAAAAATAAAAACTTTGTTCCTGTTTGAGTGGCTCGTGATTTTGTGCCCAGCCAGACTGTGGCACTCTTGAAGTTCTTGGGAGTTTCCCTTACTATTTATTTTTATTGTATGTGCTTTTCTTTTTGTGTCTTCCTCTCTCCCTCAACCCCTTTTCTTATCCTGTGCATTCTTTAGACCTCACCTTAGTTATCAAGGATTCTAGGATGTTTCTCATGATCTTTGCTGGAGGTTTCCTTAGCATTGTATAATTTCCTTATGATAACACACACAAATTTATTCCTTGTTATAGTCCTTGTACTCAGCTTGAATGTAAGGTCTGGATGATGCAGAAACTGTGTCAACTTTATATCTCTCTGTATCTAGCATTTACCTCTGGTAGATGTGAGTCACTTAATAAATATTTTCTTTATATTTAGTAGAATAATTGATTGATTTTTTTATGAATTATATAATGAAGGCATAATTTTAATGACTAGTCTCAGAGGATGCCAGATTTCCTATTTTCTTCTGTGACAATAATGAAATGCCAGTATGTTTGATGGCATAGAAATGCTGAGTATAATTGGCAGAACTCTTTATCTTGCTTTTCATATCTTTGACTCAAAATCTCTGAATTAGGAATGTAGAATCATTTCTACCCAAAATGTCAATCTTTAAACAGAACAAACAGGAGCAGATTTACCTTAGGGAGGGGTTTGGCAGGTTTACAGTGGAGTCCTCCAACAAAGTCAAAATTTGGTAAAAGTGGACGAGGAAATTCTAAATCCCAATAGGTTCGAATGAGCCAAAAATCAGCTTTCCCCATTGTTTCATATATTGTAGTGGGTCTCCCTGGATGAAGAAAAGAAAAAGATGATGAGAGACTTGTATCCTGAATGCCTCATATAATTTCCATGAAATGAACTGGATTAATGTTGTCAAGATGCTTAAAGTGCATGTATGTATGTGTTTGTGTGTGTTTGCATCCTAAAATTGATATTTTTTAAAGACACACACACACACACACACACAGAGAGAGAGAGAGAGAGAGAGAGAGAGAGAGTTTTTAATATTTATTTATTTTTTAGTTATTGGTGGACACAACATCTTTGTTTGTATGTGCTGAGGATGGAACCCCCGGGCCGCACGGATGCCAGGCGAGGGTGCTACCACTTGAGCCACATCCCCAGCCCCTAAAATTGATATGTTTTATAGTGTACTTTTTTGTATACTATAATTGATATGTTTTACATATGTTAATATGTACATAAACTAGTTGTGTGGGTACTTTCTAATGTTCCATCAGTATATATACAATCACAAATAATTACTAACATAAGCCAGCATAGAAGTAACATATTTTATTTTATTTTCTCTCTAAAACTGTAGAATAATCTAAATTTTTAAAATCTTTGTGAGCTCCATAACCAATCAGTGTTCCCATAACTGTAAAGACATCTTTTCTAGGAGTACTCAGTCTTATTCTCACAATTGAACAAACCATTCTCTTGATTCTTGATTCCACAAGTGATCTGTAATGGTTAGTGAGTATGCCTGAATTCCTAGTGACCACTACTGCAATTGCCTCCTATTAGGAGATTAATAATATTAACTCGGTAATATATATGTATTTGAAAATAACAGCCATATAGTTTTTACAAATCATTAAAACAGAGATTTGTTCTCATGCTCAATTTAGTTCATATTGTGTTAAATAGTAAATATTAGTCTTTAAAAATATAGACTAATAAGGTGTGGTTCCACTCCACACAAAGTTTTAGGCCTCAAAGCATGGTTGGTTTGTTTTTTTTATCAAAGGAATGTGAAGTATGAGATAGCTCAATATATAGCTCTCTGCATCTGAGATAGAGACACTATTTACTTAACTGTGAAGGAATCTTTAAGGTAATTCAGATAAATACTTTAATTTCTAACTGAGGAAATAAAGCTACACAAAAATAATTTTCTCCATGGTACATACATATTGTTATGCTAGTAATACATATGTATGTTATTAATGTACATGTATATCATCATTAAAACATTTAGGGAAATTAATGACTGTCCTTTGCCGCAGTCTGGCTGGGCACAAATCAGGAGCCACTGAAGCAGGAACAAACTTTATTTTTAAACTGCAGGAAAACACTTCACACAGCTCCTGGGGAATCCTCCCCGAATGCCACGAGGCTTGTCCAGGAACCCCCAGCCAGAAATATCTCTCCCGGAAATCCCTCCTCCTGCACTTCCCCAACCAATGGGAACTCTTGGGGAATCCCCAGAAATCCCCATGAGAACTCCAAAATAGTGCGAGAACTCAAAAGTTGCGGCAGAGGCGGATAGTAATGCCTCTCCTGTCAATCAATACTGTTGGCAAAATGCCAGGGGCCATACAGACTTGGCCGTGGCTCTCAGCAGTCCTTAAAGATGAAAAAAATAGTAAAGTGCAGACAAATCTTCCATGATTCAATTTGCAAGTTATTGCTTCCTAGAGCATTCCGTACAAGTGATTGCCACTGGTTTCTAATTGACCCTATAATGTAAAAGCCCTTTTTTATTGGTGAGACCATTTGTTCACCTTATATTTTCATTCCATACTTTTTAAAATTATTTTTTTTATTTGTTTTAATTTGTTATACATGACAGTAGAATTCACTTATACTTGATGTATCATACATAGCTGGGATATAATTTCTCATTTTTCTGAGTATACATATTGCAGAATCACATTGGTCACATAGTCACATATATACATAAAGTAATAATGTCTGTTTCATTCTACTGTCTTTCTTATCCCCACATCCCCTGCCTTCCCCTCCTTTCTCTTCCCTCTACCTAATCTAAGGTAATGCTATTCTTTTTTTTTTTTTTTTGCCTTTATACATGTACACTTTTTTTTGCATTACAATTCTTAATACACATATATACCACAAATTTTATATCTCTGTTTATATATAAAGTATGTTGGCACCCAATTCAAGTCTTCATACATGTACTTTGTATAATCTAATGTAATCACATTACACTACCCTTGCTAATCCCCTGCCCCCTCCTTTTCCCTCCACCCCTCTGCCCTATCTAGAATTCATCTATTTCTCCCATGCTCTCCCGCCCTACCCCACTAATGAGTAAACCTTCTTATATCAGAGAAAACATTAGGCATTTGTTTTGGGGGGATAGGCTGACTTCACTTAGCATTATCTTCTCCAATGCCATCCATTTACCTGCAAATGCAATGGCTTTGTTCTTTTGTAATGCTGAGTAAAATTCCATTGTGTATATACACCACATTTTGTTCTATAGTTTTACTTACAGAAAAGAAAATTTTTCTGATTTTATGCTTATGAAAGGTCAGCTTCAAAGTCATAGAAAATTTAGGATTTCAAATAATAATTAAAGAATCAACTTACCTAGAACTTCACTGTAAAACTGATTCCATCTCTTCACATCAAATATTTGGAACCAAAAATCAAAATAAAGCATATACACTGTATTTTTAACCCTCTCCATGAATGTCATTTGATCACTTAATTCTGACATAACAATAGGAACATAAGAAGGAGGAACTGTAAGTCCACCACTGTATTTTTCATATGTGTAGCCAAAAGTGAAGCGGAGAGTGTATACAAATGGTATTTTAAGTAGCTCAGCCAGCAGCTCACCACAGGGACCAACTGCATCTGCAAGAACCACATCAAATTTTGATTCATGTAGTTTCATCATAAGTTTCTTGTTTAAAATTACATTTCTGCAGAGTTGTTCAATTGTATCAGAATAGTCCTTGAAAACTTTTTGTACTAATGAATAAAATTCCCAGAAGTCATCTTTTGGAGTATCATAAATCCATTCATGGATCCATTTGGAGAAACGTTCTTCCAAATGTTGTTTACTTGAAGGTGCAGGGTAAACCTCAAAATTAATAGCAGATGTTGTGTTGGGATTAATAAGAATGGAAGCTGTTGATGTCAGAACAGTCACCTCATGACCTCTCTGGAGAAGTTCATCCAGGATTGCCTTTATGTTGATCCAATGGCTGTATTCTGTGGGCCACACCAGCACTTTTCCACAGCTTCCAGAGCTAAAGTAACACATCAGTTGTATCAGCAGAAGAACCGAGTTCCTTTTCACAGACATATTAGTGCAATGCAATGCTTCTGTTACATTAGCAGCTCTTCTTTTCTTCAATTTCTTAGGCTTATATCTCTCAGGATAAATCAATCCAAAGTTAAAGTATAACTTCTGCACTTCAAAGTACACTTGTACAGGCTGATCATGTGGATGATAGAAGAACAAATACAAGGTAGAGTACCTTAAGGTTATAAAAACTTGTTTAATATCTCCTTCATTTTTGTAAGTGCTATTTTCCAGATAAGACTTATTGATCTCTCATATGTACATTACCTGTCTTACATATTGTATTTTAGAATGATATCAAGGACAGTGGCAACTGAAAGGATCTCCTATGTGTATCAAATAATAATACATCTGACACAGCATTTATTTGATGATCTGATTCAAGGGTGATTTTGAAATTTTCTTGATATATACAGATACTATACGATTCACCAATTTAAAGTGTATAATTCAATGTTTCCTAATATATTCACAGAATTTTGAAATCTTATTTTATATGGACTTAAACTCAATTTTTCTTCTGAGTTTATTCCATTTTATATTCTTATAACAAAATACCTAAATCAAGGTACATTATAAGTAAAAGACTCATTTTGATTATGGTTCTACTGCCTGGATTGGCATCTGATTATGGCACTGGTTAGCACACTCTGGCTATGTCATAGCATGACAGAAAAATAGTATGGCACTTGGGTATGTGCCCAAGAGGCCAAACATTTGGGGTGACCCCATTTTATACCAACTGTCTCTTGCAGTAACTTATCCAGTCTTGTCAGATCTAACCTACTCCCATAGACATATTAATCCTTATTAATTAAAGTCTTAATCATTGCTATGATATGAAAATAAGGTATCCCCTCCCTGAACTTCTGTTAATGCAGGTCTATTCAGGTGTAAAAACATTAGATTATGAGAACTATAACCAAATCAGTCCAAACTAGAGTGCACTGAGTGGGTGTAACTGTAGGCAGGTGAAGCCTGGCTGGTGGAGGTGGGTTGTTGGGGGTATGCCCTAAAAGGGTGCATTTGCCCTGGACTGTGTGTCTCTCTCTCTCCTTCCAGACTCTGACATGAGCTGAACATCTTTCCTTTGCTAGGGCCTTCCCCCATGATGTACTAGTTTATCTTGGGCCCAGGGCAATGGAGTTGGCCATCAATGGACAGAGACCTCTGAAACCATAAGCCCCAAATACCTTTAAGTTGTTCTTAGATATTTTGGTCACAGTGATGAAAAAGTTGACTAAAATAATCACCTTTGAAGGTTACCATACCTCTCAATACTGTTACCTTAGTAACCATACCTCAACACAGAGGTGGGTAATGACAAGCTCTATTCAAAACCACACAAATCCCCTACTAAAAAGATTCATTCAGTGACACAGACACTGGTTGTGATGGTCTTGAATGAAGTCTACCTCACTGTTATTAAGAGGTATTGTTAATATTTTGCTTTAACAATAGTGAGAAAACATTCTCAGGTTTATCACTTATGATGTTATTATTTTTAATATGTTCTTGGAAACAGACAATCAATAGGAACTTAACTTACATTTAGATATTTATAATTATTATTTTACTAAAAAAGGTGTTCCATGCAAGATATCTGAAGAATCATTTTAATTTAGTTATTTTGTCTTTCAATTTAAGGGTAGTAAAAGATAGATAGTTATAGATGAAATTACTTTATATCACTTTCAGTCAGCTCTGTGTTCCTGGGTAGCTTATCTTAAAATTTGTTGGAATTTTCCAGTCACTCCCCCTTAAATCACTTCTAGAATAAGGCTAAGAAATGCTGATTTTTAGGGTCATGGTGCTATGGTTTAGAATTTCAATGAAACTGTTCCAAGAGTCCTATTTATAATCTAGGAGAATATATGTATAGTTACATGTTTAAATGATCATATTTCTTAGGTCATTGTTTCTATATGGCAGCTTTTACCCTGCTATCAAATTAATATTCTGGTAGAATGTGCTATGTATTGTAAGGGTCCCGCAAAACGTTGGAGAAAGAGACCACCAAGTGACCACTCATGCAATTGGCAGAAGGGGGATTTATTGAACCAGCATGCTGGGGCTCCTGCCCACTCAAGAAGGGAAAGCAGCCCAGAGCCCCGAGCAGGGGCTGAGCACTGCTTAAGTACACTTTTTGGGGAGGGCAGAGGGCTTTGTATACATCAGAACAAATCATCATGAGGCGTGGAAAAATTGAACAACAACTCCTAAACATGATTAGTTCATTCATTGGCAGGAACAGGTCAGGCTGGAGTGATAGGTCATTCCTAAGGAGGGGGTTACATTTAAACTGATTGGTCCAGGCCCTGCAATGCCCACGTACGACCACACAGAGCCCTTATTAAACAACCAAATAGTCAGGGGAAATATTTACTGGGCAGTTCCAAGCATTGTCTTAACAGCTACAGAAATTTCAGGTTTTGCAGGTAGCATAGAAACCTAACAATACCTAATCCTTTAGATTTTAACTCAGACCTTGCAGCTTAGAAACTTTACAACACCCGGTCTTTTACCCTTTAACTTTTACGCTTTAACTTCAATTTCTTTTACCCTTACAGTATATCTGGTATGAGGGGCCCTCCTCATCACCTTTCTGTATCCTACAAGGAAAACTTATACCACAAAGAGGTTCAGCAGGCATTTTTCCAAAGGAGATCTGGTCAAACTTTTGATCAAATCACTTCAACTTTTAGAAAGCTCCTGGTAAAGACATATTTGGTTGGAATTATTTTGAGAATTATTCTTTTGTTGTTGTTGCTGCTCTGTTCTTCTTTATTACAACCCTGTCCCGTGTTCCCGAATGATGGCTCTTTAACATGACACCCAAAACATTCCTACAGTGAATCCTGTTAGCATTCAAAAGTCTCCCAATTTCTTTCTCAGCACATTAAATCCAAAAGCGGGGAAAAGTCTTTAAAAAAGTCAATAGGTTTAGCACATCCCAGGAAAAGCACCTTTACAATAGGAAAACTAAATGTGTCAGAAATCTGACCAAATAGGTAAAGCATCAGGTATGATTCCTGAAGGAATGACTCCCAAAGGAACATAAATAGATCCATCCAAGGTATATATATTTCACAAGCATGTACATGTATATTAAAAGAAATTTGGTTTTTAAATCCCCCCAAATTATTCAGAAATCAACATCCCATCTGAGTCGGGGAAAGCTGGTTGCTGCATCCATATTACAAGCCAAGCAGCACCTCTCTGTGCACAGGCCTCCCCCACCCCTATGCTCACTCCTGGCCGAACAGCATGGGCAGCTAAACTAAAGGTTGCTGGAGTAAATTTACTGGGATACCAAACAAAACACAGACACACATTTTACCTTTCAATCAAGCTTCAGGGGCTGGGGATGTGGCTCAAGCGGTAATGCACTCACCTGGCATGGGTTGGATCCTCAGCACCACATTAAAAAAAAAAAAAAAAGATGTTGTGTCCACCGAAAACTATATATATATATATATATATATATATATATATATATATATATATATATATATATATATATATATAAATTCTCTCTCTCTCTTTAAATAAATAAATAAATAAATAAATAAATAAATAAATAAATCAAGCTTCAGGACAGCTCCTTCACTCTAGGCCTCCAGCTCCTCAATGGCTGGAGAGAGAGAGCTAGCACCTTTGGAAGTAAACTTTTACTGGAGGGATCCTCATTCTTTAGAAAGTTACATACAAAAAAGGTCAAGAGGGGCAAGGTTACAAGGACAGGTAAGGTAATTTGACCCCTGGGGCTGTGGGAGGCCACGCCTACACATGATGACACATTCAGCTATTTGGAGGATGGGGGAAGGATCTAGGGCCACTATGAAAGTGACCAGATCACTAGGAAAGTGACAGACAGAGCCTCTACCAGTCACTGGAAGGAAAATGCTAGTCATTCAGCATGATGGCCCCCTACATTCCAAATTATTCAGAAATCAACATCCTATCTGAGATGGGGGAAGCTGGTTGCTCCAGCCATATTAAAAGCCAAGCAGGCACCTGGCTGTGCACAATGCCTTCCTCTTCTCTAGGCTCACTCCTGGGACAGGACTGGGGTGGCCCAGGTCTGGCAGATCCATTGTTTGTAGAAAACTGAAGTAGGAAGGCTGGTCCCTGGGTGGCCTGTGGACCCCAGAACCAACTGGAGGAGGGAACAAAGGCCCAGGCCCCCCACAACCAGCCTTGAGGGCCCCCTGTTCCTGGGGTAAAGGAAATGCTTGGACCCCAGGGGTAGGAAAGCAGTGCTCCCTCCCAGCTTTAGCTGCGCTCTGGGTTCTGCCCAAATACCTCCAGGTCTTTGTATTTGATCAGCCTGGGCTTCCCTCAGGATCCAATGGCTTTGGGGAGTAATTTCCAGACTCACCAGGGATTAACCTGTTAGCCTGCTCTGTGTGTGTGTGTGTGTGTTCGTGCTCTCACATGTACATACACATTTTTTAATGGAAGTCAGGCAGAAATGAGACATAGTTTTCTCTCACATTGCTGTTTCCTGCTCAGAAATTAAAATATTTGGCATATTACCTAAGGAATTTCCTCATATTTTCCTTGGAAATTTTAATTTGCTAAATTATTACAAACTAGACTAATTGTGGCAATGTTTTCATGGATACAGCAAGATCAATACATTTTGGAGCTACGATAGTTGTTCACATTTATACCTCTTACTTTTAGACCTTTAAACAAAAACCAAAAGGAGTTCATTCTACAGTGTTTGTTTTAATGATTTTTTTTTTTAAATTGTGAATGCCATGACAAAACTAGAATGCCATGAAAGATAGTCTCTTCTCATTTCTATACAGAAAGTGGTGCTAGAACTGTTCATAATTCCACACCTACATAACTATGTAACGACATTCAGTGAGGTTTATCATTGTTATTTTAGAAATGAAATTTACAATAGCATTAAATAAATGTGTAATGTCTTAGAGAAATTCTAAGGTCTTCAATTGGCAGGATTATGTTATCCTGGAATGACTAATGAGTGATGGCCACAGGGTTCTAAACAACCATGCAATGTAAGCCTTACTTAAATCTTTGTGAGA